ATAAGTGAATAACAATAATTCTTTCTGAGAAATGTTATAATCCATGCCTGTTGATGGCAATGCATCACTAATTGTATATTCTTTTTCACAACTAGGACTTAGTTGCACTCTGAAAGGAAGCAGGAGCCTTTTTATATTATATTAATATAGTAATGTTAATCAAAATGTTAAGTGCAGCCCCTCAATCTATAAATTCCAATAATCCTACTACTATATTCCTGCATGGATATGGAGACTGTCCCATCATCTTCAACAAAATCACTAGTTTATTCTTAAAGATGTAAAAATAAACTTGTTATATAACTTAATGCATAAAAATAAGAATTTATGCACTGGAATTTATTGCATATTCATAGTAATAGTAATAGAAGAAAATTACTAACTGTATGCTATTTCTGTTTGAAATTATGCTTGTTTTCCAACAGTATGCTATGACAATGCAACAAGAACCATAATAATAATAAAAAACTAAAATCAAAAAGTTAGTTGATATGGTAACAATTTAGTTTCAGTTTTTTGTGTTTTCCTGGGCTGTCTCCATTGCAGAGTATTCTCTTCTCATCATCTGACCCCTTCAATATATCCACCACTTCCACTGATGAGATGTTATCTTCTTCCCTGCTTATCTCTCCATCAGTTTTGTTGGTTTTTGTTGTAAGCATACCCCTCTTTCGTTTATTGTTTTGTGAGCTATTTCACTGATTTTTACCTTGGTTTGGGACAATTGACCTTTGTTATTGTCTTCAGTTCCCAGTTCTTTTTTGATTTTCACAAAAGTAGGTGGTTGACTATGTATTGATTGATGAATAGCATTTCTTTTGTTTGCCATTGAATATGAATTCTTCCCTTTGTGATCATTGATATTTGAGGTTGCCCATGGTATTTTATTTGATGTAGATGCTGAATTGGACCTAGTGCTAACAAATTGCATTCCAATCATGTTGCAGTAGACTTTTCCATCTACAACCAATAATTCACTTGTTATTGTGCTTTGAATTGAAGAGAGTGCTTTTTGCAACAGTGAACATATTTTTGAGGTGACCATTTATCAGATGTGTCAATATGACATCCTAATCCGTAGGGCTGCACACAGTTTGGATGATAAGTATTAGTATGGTTTGACTTCAAGAGTTAAGTGATATCCTAAACCAGTAGCATTACAGCCTCCATGATTATGATTGGCTTACACACTTTTCTATTAATAGACTCTTGCATATTGCAGAAGTTCTGGGGACCCATTATTTAACATTCTAAATTTTCCAGTAACAAAACAATAGAATCTGTGTAGAGTTTTTCAGCATAATAGCCTTCTTCAGGTAATTCATCAGATGGTAACCACTAAATTGGATGTTGAGAAGTTGCCAGCACCGTTGACATGCAGCAGACCCTTCTGCAGGATAATGATTGTTCAGAGATAGATGTTATGTATAATATGGTTGAAATGTTTGTGATCATATTTAAAAAGTCTAAGTCAAGATGTAGACAAAAGTTGCCTTTTTATATGAAAAACTAGGAATGTTCTATGTGCCTGGTCGACTGCGTCGACCAGGTGTTGTGCAGTATGAGGCGGCAACATTGCAGAAGCTTTGTTTTTTTATGTCAGCAAAGAAAAGAGATGGTGGAATCAATCTTATTCATTTGATAGTGTTTAGTAGCTAATACTATTGATACAGTCATTGATATTCCTTATTGCAATATATTAGACTTTTCATTTCTCATTGTTATGATTTGCAATTTGTTATTATGCCTCAGAATTAGTTCTGCATCTGGGCAATGTTCTTCTATTGGATATATTATGTTTGTGTCATATGGTTTCCATTGAGCTTTCGTAGTGTATATCAATTTTCTGCAATAGGCGCATGTTATGCAAGGATGTTGATACAAAATACTGTAGTACCATAGAGCACTGAATATAGTACCCCCTTAAAGTGGTACCCCCTAAATTAAGACCCTTTTGAAATGTACCCGGGTACAAATATCATATGTCACATGATACACATACATACAATACAACAGTATTAGTATGAAGTTTATTATTATTTATCAATGATATGTACTTCAGTACAAAAAACACTCATCGATGTACTTATCAATGCATAAACTCAATAACGCATAATAAATGCATACAACCAACCAAAAAGTCACTGTCAACAAGATATCAACCAAATTCTAGTGGTCGAAAGAGAGATCAAACTACAAAACCCACCATGCAGGAACTAATTTATCCCAAAGATTTGCATAATTCAATTCATTCTCATCATAATGATTATCACTGATCTGTTCATTGATAGTTATATGATCGTTAACAAGCGGAGCATTTTCCTGAACTTCTCTTATAGTAGCCCTTTTCACACACTTGTTTCCACGAGGCGCCATCGCGTTAGCTAAGAAATAGAGATAAAGTCTGATGAACTTTAATATGATAAAATTGACCAATCACAACACTCTATGAAGGAATTTCAAAGTACCCCCTAAAATAGTACCCTCCTCCATACACAGTACAATTCAAAAAGTTGAGGGTGTTCTAGATACATTAATGTACACAGGGTACTATATTCAGTGCTCTATACTCTATGGTAGTTGTGAATAGAGTTTGTAATTTATGAAGTCAGGTAGATGGTCACCATGACATTATCTTTGACAGTTGTAAATTTGAAATGTTGTTATCTGAAATTATAAAGTCTCTTGGAATGTGGACATTTGTATTTGGAGTGGGAGTGGAGTAGGAGTAGAATTTTGACTTTGTAAGATGGAATTGGCTGTGGTATTTAGTATCTGTATGGTATTAGACAGATTGAATTTGACTGTTCATATGGTGTAAATCAGTATATATGGAATGTGTAGGACCTGGAGGCCAAAGTATTTTTGATGGATTTTGATGGTTTTAGGTTTGTAGAGGTGCTATTTATCAATTTACACAGTATCAGTGTGGTTAATATTCTTTTAAAGACCTCAAAACCTCAACTGTATTCTTCAAGTGACTATTGATTACCTTTCATTTCTTTATCATGCAGGAGAATTTATATATTGTATTATAAGGATGATACACATGTCAGGCATATTTTTGCTATGTTAAAGGTGAACAGTGGTGTCTAGAAGTCAATATGACATTGAGATTTGAAGACCTTCCTAAGACTTCTACAATCAATATCAACAACAGACAGTCATCAGCAGCTCTGGCTTAATGACAATTGACCTTGCCTGGTAAAGCCTTAGGAACCACCACAGTCTGACTTAAGTATAAGACCTGCTGGAGCCACCATCTTACAGATACAATATCAGTGAAACAGTATATTCCTGGAACTCAAGTCGGCCAGCATCCAAGTGAATACATAAAACTCTCACTTTTTTGGCTCCTTTCAAAGTGTTTACCATAGTCTTGGTGGTGTGTATCACCAATTTGATAATTTTCTGTTTAACCTTAATATTAAGAAACAACTAAAAAGTCACTTCCCAGTTGGATTGATTTCTTTGGGATTATAAAAATTTCTCCATATTAATATATTATCATTACACTAAACCAATTTGTTCATCTCTTACAAATTGTGGACAAAAATCTGTTAACTTTATTGCCTTGTATATATTCAATTGAATATGATGCAACAGACTTTGCATTTTAGTATGTCTTGCTCTTCTACAAATCTGGCATGGTCTTGCTGTTCTGATTCCTTATTTATGATTATTTTGTTCAATGTGAATTTTTAAGACGGCACAGTTTAATACTATACTATTGTAAAATGATTGATAATCATCAACAAAAAAAAGCTCCACATTAATATGTAAATTTTATGCTCTATGTTTGTAAAACTACTGATAGATATCAGACCTCCACTTCCTGATCACATATTTGATAAGCAATTGGTTTGAGAAAACAACAGTACTGAAAACACTTTTGATGATATTGTTGCAAGTTTGAACCTTTCTATTACTACATATAAACTCATTGTTCTCTTATGCAATTTCTAACAAAAAAAATTTTCAAAAAGAAAAATTGGGTATTAGTATCAAATCCCACTTTCAAAAAAATGGAGCTTAAACTTTGCCACACAGTTTCTCTGTCTATGTACTATGGGTGGAAAGTATACCTACAAATACTTTTAACTTGAGGGCAAAATTTATAGAGTTGTCATCATATGAGCAGCACTCAAACACATGAAAGATCAAGTAAGAATCTTTTTTTGTTAGTATTAGGTCTAGCCTTAATTGACATTTTACACTTATTTATGACAAATTTTTTTACACACAGGTAAATAAAAAAAGCTGTCCCTTGATTTTGAGAGCTAGTGGATAAATTCCTTGAACACCTTGTTAATACTGAAATTTAAAGAACATGTTCTGACCCATTTCAGAATTTGACCCACTTCAGAGTTGTGTACATGATGATCAACATACTCAATTATATCACTTCATAATTCATTATAATTATGTTAACAATAATAATAAACAACTGAACAAGCGAATATATTTATGAGAAGCAAAACATGAATACATTATGATAATAATAAAAAGAAAAGTTAATGTCTCTAATTGGTTAGCGCCTTACAAACTAGCAGTTAACATAGTCAGTATTTGCTGAATACACGTACACTTCATCTACCCAAGAAAATAATCAGGAATATATATATTCTCACTACTACAGAATAACCAAGAAAATATCAACAATCTCCCACACTTTCTCCTTAATTACACATTCTTACTTCCTACCATTTTACTTATACTCATAGTGCACACACAATGCACTAGTATTCCTGAAATATAATAATTACGATACTGAGTCAAGGCGTGCAAATGTTACATGCATTAACAAATGCAATAACCAACTTCTTCGGAATGTAATTATTTTAATATTGGCGTTGAAGTCCTTCGAATGTCTTTCTGTAGCCAGCGTGTTGTAAATCTTGATGTACGGAACAAATTACATCGTACAGATTCTCTCTAACACGCACGTTTTTTACTTCTTTTGAGGACTAGAACTTTTACGTCGCCAATACGCATCACGCTGAACATTTGCAGTACCCAGTGTTTATATCTTTGATTTGCATTTGTATCTGAGCCGCT